AAACCCAAGGAGGGGTCGCTATGAGTCGGGTTTGACTCGACGGCACATAACAACAACAACAACATCACCAATGCTAAAGACAAGGTAAACTGTGGTGACTGGCGTTTCACAGTTAATACCTGAACCCAGGAAATGAGGCAGAGCCCGTGTGGAAGGCACAAAGCCTGAAGTCCATAACCGTAACCAGGGTTCCCTCATCTATCCTACATCCCGAAAATGCTTTCGCGATGGGAAGCATGAAAGAGACTGGTGGGGTGTGGATAGAGTATGCATGAAGTCAAAGCAAAGGTTTTGCTACAAAACAAGCAGCGGCTTTGGAAGGGAGGGAGAGAACCAAGTTGTACCCGCGGTGCCCATTCCTCCCCTCATGCAGGATTATTGTGCTCTTCCTAAGAAAGTTTCCCGTAAGACGGCAGGATCTTGGGGGAGGTGAATCCAAGGGAGCGGAATTATTTCACCTAGACAGCTTCGGGAGTGTTTACGATTTCGCGCCTAGAACTGTTGCAGGTAAGTTCCCCCCTCTTTCGATCTTCTGGGGCTTTGGGGATAACCGCTACCACCAGCAGACTTCCGGAACTTTTCCGCCAAGCGGAAGGAAAGAAGTAGATGGTAGCACAATCCACTCGCCCAACCAAAAAGACGCACTGCTCGAGAATCCGGCGTCGCCCCGCCCTTTCCGCTTCCTGTATCCCTCCGCCCGGTCCTGGTTGTCTAGGCGTTCAGCAAGCTGGTGGCTGGAAGTGACAGGGACCTGAAGGGCTATGGCAGCTGCGGGGTCTGTGAAGGCGGCGCTGCAGGTTGCCGAGGTGCTGGAAAGCATCGTGAGCAAGTGCTTGGGGCCTGAAGGGCGGCAAGTTCTTTGTACGAAGCCCACTGGCGAGGTACTGGTCAGCCGGGATGGAGGCCGCCTGTTGGAGGCGCTCCACTTAGAGCATCCCATAGCCAGGTACACGTTCCCCTCATCGTACAACCCTAGCCGGGCTCCCCAGGCCAGCACTTGGTACATCTTGATTCATCTTCAGGCCATACTACTGGAAAAACTTGATTCTGTGTGAGACCAGTATATGCTTGGGGTTAGAGCTCTGCCCAGGGGCACAGTCCCGGGTCCCAAGAACGCGCCTGATCCCAGCCTGATCCCACCCTCCATTGTGGAATAGAATGAGGTGTACCTTGAGAAAGGAAGAACCAAAATCAAGGACGTATATTCTGTGAAAATAGGATTTTAACTTGGTTCAGATTTGGGAAGCCAGCCTTTTGAAATGAGTTGCTGTATTTCTTTTTTGTACAGGATGGTGGTGGCATGTGTTTCCAGTCATCTCAATAAAACGGGAGATGGTGCTAAAACATTTATTATCTATTTTTGCCATTTGCTCAGAGGACTTCATGCAGTCACAGACAAAGAAAAGGATTCTTTGATTTCTGAGAATATTCAAACCCATGGAAGGCATTGGAAAAATTGTTGTCAGTGGAAATTTATTTCTCAAGCTCTTCTAACGTTTCAGACACAAATATTAGACTCCTTTATAGCCCAATGCTTAAGTAAACACTTTTTGTCAATCTTTTCTTCATCCACTAAAGAGAGAACACTGTGTAGGAGCTCTCTAGAGTTGCTCTCAGAAGCATACTTCTGTGGAAGAGTGGCAAAAAATAATCACAAATTTATTTCACAGTTGTTGTGTGACTACCTGTTCAAGTGTGTGACTTATAAAAGTGAGATTGAAGAAGTATTTGAGTTACTGGATGACTGTTTTGTTGAGTTAAACATTGGTGTTGCTGGCCTTCCAGTTTCAGATTCCAGGATCATAGCGGGACTTGTACTGCAGAGAGATTTTTCTGTGTACTGCCCAGCAGATGGTGACATACAAACAGTGATAGTAACAGAAACCATTCAGCCTCTTTTTTCAGCATCTGCATCAGAGTTTGTTTTCAATTCAGAAGCACAATTTCAGGCATCTCAGTTTTGGATTATGGAAAGGACAAAAGCAATAATGAAATCTTTACAGAATCAGAATATAAAATTGCTCTTATCTAGTGTGAAGCAACCAGATTTAGTTATTTATTATGCAAAACTGGGTGGCATATCAGTGGTGGAGTGTTTATCATCAGAAGAAGTTTCTCTCATTGAGAGAATCGTTGGTCTTTCTCCTTTTGTACTACCACAGATCTGTTCACAGCATGACATCTGTAACACTACCTTGGTGAAATTTTGTAAGCCCCTTATCCTTAAATCGAAAAGGTATGTGCATCTTGAGTTGATTAGCCCTTGTTTGTTTCTACCACACTGTATAGTTCTTTGTGGACCAGTGCAGGGTCTTGTTGAACAACATAAGGATGCTTTACATGGAGCATTTAAAATGCTTCGACAGTTATTTAAAGATCTTGATCTAAGTTACATGGCACAAGCCAACAACCAAAATTATACATCAACTCCTCCTATTTATAAGAATAATAGAGAAAATCATCTGTTAAAAGAAATTGGTAATGACTCAATACAAAGGCCATATCAGGGCACTGTTGTAAAGAACAAAGATGAACTGGCAACTTTTCAAAAACATTTAGTAGTATATTCACATTTGGAAATTCCAAATGTAGAATTAGAAACATACAGTCCATGTTCAACTCCAAAACTGACATCAGCAGATACCTACCAAACAGATGACATAATGACATATTTATCTCAGAACAAAGCCAGGAAAATTGATGACCATGAACCATTCATTGAGAGTAAGGTCATTGCTAATTCAACAACAGAAAACACTAAATTAGAAATGTCTGATGAAAATGTACAGGTCACAAAAGATGTTGGCAGAAGGAATGTGTTACCAGTGAGGTGTAAGTCACTAGAGAGTTACCGTTCCTCATCTATCCCAGCAGGCTGTGTTTTGCCAGTGGGTGGTAATTTTGAGCTCTTGTTACATTATTATCTTCTGAACTATGCCAAAAAATGCCAGCAATCAGAGGAAACCGCAGTTAGTATGATAATAGCTAATGCACTTTTAGGCATTCCGAAAGTCCTTCATATGAATAAGAAAGGAAATGACAGCTTTCCTCGGATATATGTAAGAATGCTCCATGCACTGCAAACCAGTCAGCCCATGGTAAGCACTCACACAGGCTTGGAATCAGTAGCTGGTAAATACCAGTTGCTAACTTCAGTTCTTCAGTGTTTGGCAAAAATTTTAACCATTGATCACGTAATCAGTATTAAGAGACAACCTCAGAGGGTTTATGATCAAGATTCAGAAGATGACCTATAAAATTGAAAGGTGTTTTTTAACCAAAGTTCTAATTCAACTCAAGCTGTAAAATCAGGTATGTGACCACTTATTTTCAAGTCAATTCAGTCTACTTAGGAAAACAACATGACATAAAAAGTCTTTATAGATATACTGAGGCACTTGAGGGAGCTCTGGTAGCATAGTGGCTAAGACACTTGCCTGCTAACCAGACAGCTGGCGGTTCAAACCCACCAGCCACTCCTCGGAAGGAAGGTTGGGCAATCCTACTTCCGTAGTGATACTGCCTCGGAAACCCAAGGAGGGGTCGCTATGAGTCGGGTTTGACTCGACGGCACATAACAACAACAACAAAGGCACTTGACTGCTAACCAGAAGGCTGGCGTTTCAAACCCACCAGTCACTCCCCAGAAGAAAGGTTGGGCAATCTACTTCCATAGTGATACTGCCTCAGAAACCCAAGGAGGGGTCGCTATGAGTCGGGGCTGACTTGACGGCACATAACGACAACAACAAGGCCACCAGATGGGGGAAGCCAAGATCCGGCTAAGCATGTCTTACCTCTTGCGTGTCTCTGTATTTTACCTCTGTGTTAATCTATGTGTTTGGAGGAGTGTTTCTTTATAGTGGTTCCTTTTTACTGTTTTCGTTTTCACTCTTCATTTTCTCCACATATTTGTGTGTAACTCAGAATCTTTTACCTTAAATTTGGGTGAGGTCTTAATATGCCCTCCTGTTATCTGCTTCATATAAAATTTCTTTTCCCTATTGGTGTTTGGTTTGGTTTGTTTATTAGTAATTTCTAAAACAGTGAGTAAAGTGTCTCAATTACTTTTCTCAAGAAGCATATAAATTAGTTTGTACTTTTATGCAGTTCATGGTTTATTTACATTTCATGTGGAAACACCTGCATAGATATTCCCTGTCCATACACCATTGAATATATGTTACCAGAAATAGGATTTTGTGAACTTAGTTCTGTAGTTATAAGCCAGTACCAGAAAGGATGAAACCATGTTTTCATCCTCTGCCACTAATAGCTTGTAAAGATATTTCATGTACTTGCTTGTTTTTCTTACACAGCTAGAGTTCAGTTGTAACAAATAATTTGAGAATTATTTTTTATTTCTGAAGTGAACTTACAAATATATGCATTTTATTTTAAACGTTTGTAAATGCAAATGATGCTATCTATATAGCCATGAGTAAGGACAATGTCTTCTACTATTATGTTCTTTAATAACAACAAAACAGTGCTATGTTTAGACCAAGTATTCAAGAGTGCTTGTTGAAAAAAACCTTATTTTTAACCCATGCCTCTAAAGACATATTTCTAATTTACTAATATAACTGTTCCTCATTGAGTACTTACTGTGTGCCAGATACTATGCCAGATGCTGAATATATAGTGCTGAACTAAACAGTCATGGTTTTTCTCTTTGTGCACTTTTCTCAAAGGATAATAGATATGTAACAGTTAGTTGGGTTGGGACTGAATTTAGGAAAATTAATGACAAAAAAAAATTAATTATAATTAAACTTGCATAAGTGGTAACTAATAATGTATTACCATAAACAGTTTGCACTGGACACTAACCTAATGTTGTGATTCAAACCCACCCAGCAGTGCTACAGAAGAAAGACCTGGTGATCTGCTTCTGAAAAGATTATAGCCAAGAAAACCCTATGGAGCAGTTCTAGTCTGTAACACCTAGGGTGCCCATGAGTTGGAATTGATTCGATGGCAACAGGTTGGTTGTTTTGTTTGTTTGTTTAACAGTGTATTTAAAAACTACATCTTATCATCCAGTATTGCATCTTTTGCATTAAATTTGATCCCAGATTTTTTTAAAGTTTATGCCATAAAATACATTATCCCTTTTCTGTTAATGTGGAGAGAATAAATTAGCTCTGTTTCTTATATTGAACGCATAGAATAATGAACCTACTTTGAAATAGTTTTTTTGTGGTGGTGGTTTTACCAAATACTCCTCCATCATTGAACATATTCAAAGACCTTTTCACATATGCCCAGTCCTTTGCATCTGGTAGGCATTTTGTAGCTATGTTCAGGAGTCTGTTTCTAAGCCAAGGACTGAATCTATGTATATATGGTACCTGGTCCAATATGTGGTACACAATAAGTATTCGATAAATATCAGTTGATGGAGTATTTGTTCAGTGATTATAGTCATCTAGTCATGATTATGTCTATCAAATTTCCATGGACAAAGGATATGTTTTGGGGAAAAGGAACAGAAAATGTAGAACACTTCTATACAAAGCGTTTTTTGTTTTGTTTTCTTTTCTTTTTTCCTTTAATAATAATAAAAAAATCCCTCTAATGTGATAAAGCTTTCATGGGTCATTCTTAAAATTTACAGAATAACATTGGGGAGTTTATATCACTGTGTTAGATAGGAGAGCACCTTAAAAATGTAATTACATTATACTTAATACCCCTTCTCACAAAGAATTTGAGGTGACTTTCAATAAGAACAGACAAAGTTATGGTAAAATCTGAATAAAAATCAAGGAGTCAAGACCATGTTCTTATTTTCTATTTCAGCACAAATTTAGTTGATTTGAAACATCTTATTACTTCTCATGGATCTGGAATTTGCCAGGGTTTAGCCTGGTAACTTCCACTGTACAGGCAGACCCCAGATCACCAACACTAGACTTACAGATACCTCTTCTTGCCCTTTAATGTTACATAAATTTGCCCTCACTTTAAAATAATTGAACCAGCTCCTACTGGCACGAAATTCGTCATCACAATAACCTTCACTTGCTGCTCATGCTGCTTTTATATCATTGAAAAGGCTTCAAGCCTTTTGGTGCACTAAAGTAAGGCTGGAGGAGTCAGCCACAGAGATCCTGGTGAGGGGAGAGAACCCAGGCTAAGCACCATAAGTGGCAAGGTGGGAAAGCAGGGGAAAGGAGAGAAAAGGCCAGGGGGACTGGGACAGAGTAAGGAGTCAGCTGCAGGGATCCAGGTGATGGGAGGGAACCCAGGCCATGCCCCACAAGTGGCAAGGCAGGAAAGCGGAAAGAGAAAAGGCCAGGGGGACTGGGAAGAGTGAGGAGTCAGCTGCAGGGATCCAGGTGACGGGAGGGAACCCAGGCCACATCCCACAAGCAACAAGGCAGGAAAGCAGTAGAAAGGAGAGGAAAAAGGCCACGGGTGCTGGGACAGAGTGAGGAGGCAGCAGCAGGGATCCAGGTAAGAGGCGGTTGGTGAGGTTTCAAACAGCTAAGGGAAACACACTTGTCTGTTGGTTTGTCCTACTGTGGTGACATATTGCTGTGAGTCTTGAGGCTGTGCCACCAGTGTTTCAAACCCAGTGGGATGAACATGGTGCACAGGTTTCAGTGCAGCTTGCAGACTGAGACTAGAAAGAAGGAAGAGGCCATCCTCTTCTCAGAGAATTGGCCAGGGGAAATCTTATGAATAGCAAAGAAACACTGTCTGATAGATTACTGTGCAACTTTATGAGTAGTCCGGAAACACTGTCCAAGACAGAGGAGGAGGATGAAGCACTTAGGTTAGAAGGCTCTCAAAATACAACTGGGAAAGAGCTGCATCATCAGAGTAAAACCAGCCTTACTCATATGGATAAGGTAAAGCTTTCGAGACCTCCATTTGCTGATGTGGCATGACTCAAATTGAGGAGAAACAGCTGCAAACATCCATTGATAATTGGAACATGGAATGTAGGAAGTGTGAATCTAGGAAAACTGGGAGTTGTCAAAAATGAAATGGAACATGTAAAGATTGATATCCTAGGCATTAGTGAGCTAAAGTGGACTGGTTTTGGCCATTTTGAATCAGACAACCAGATGATCTACTATGCCAGGAATGACAGTTGGAAGAGGAAAGTCATGGCATTCATCATCACAAAGGATGTTTCAAGATCTGTCCTGAAGTACAGTGCTGTCAGTGATAGGATAATATCCATACACCTACAAGGAAGACCAGTTCATATGACTATCATTCAAATTTATACGCCAACCACCAAAGCCAAAGATGATGAAATTGAAGATTTTTATCAACTTCTGCAGTCTGAAATTGACCAAACATGGGATCAGGATGTGTTAATTATCACTGATGACTGGAATGCAAAAGTTGGAAACAGGAGGTCTGGTAAGATGGCACAATAGGCAGAAAGACTGCACAGACCCTCTTCAACAAAGAAAAGGAGAACTAATTACCACAGATACAGAAGATAATTCTGGACCCCGGAACCTTGAAGGGAAGGATATAGAAGTGGACTAGATTGCAACTAGCAGAAGAATTTGCATGAAAATACCCAAAAAGGAGACATACAGAGCTGTGGTCTGGCAGAGATCCTGACAGCTTGGATATTGCAGAGTAGTGGTAGGACCTAAGAATTAGCCTAAAAATCAGCCCTGCTAGCCAGGGACTGCACAGAGGACTGCTCTGGTGACTGGGGAATAAAAGGTGAAGCAGCAGCAAAGAGGACAGTAGGCTGAGCTGTGGACTTTTTGCCTATTTGGAGGGTGCCGCCATTTTGAATATTTATAAGCGGCTTGACCATTTTGGATATCTAAAGCAACAGTTCTCCCAGATTCCAGCGACTTAAGAACAGGCTCCACTTGCTGGAAACCGCAAAGACATCCCAGATGCATGGAGTCCTGAAAAGGTGCAAAATTCCCCTTGTTACTCTTATATCTCAAACCCTCTTGGGAACCAAGGTACAGCCATCCCTCATTCCCACACACCTTCTAGGCTGGGAGGAATTCCATTCCACTCTGTGTACTCCTACGGAGCCTGGGTGCCCTGCCCCACCCTGCCCAGATTTTTTTTTCTTTTTTTAAGTTTGTTTGTTTTTGTCTCTTTTAAAGCTACTGCTATTATTATTACTTTTGTCGTTTTTATTACCATACTTTATTCTTCCCTTCCCTGGTTCTAGTTTTCAGCTTTTTTTCTTTTCTCTGTTCCTAGTTCGAATTTTTTATTTTCATTCTTGTGGATAACCCTGTTCCTCCTTTTTCTT